AGTCAAAATGTCGGCAGTGTGGAAGTTTTTTTTTCATTGAGGATGTTGGATTCCGAAGATTTTTGGACTACTTTGAGCCTCGCTACATCGTCCCTAGTTGGAGATATTTTTCCAATGTAGCCTTACCTGAGTTACAAGCCGTCATTTCCGATGTCATTGAGAAGCTAATAGCAGATAGAACTTTGGTGAGTTATACCACAGACATTTGGACGTCAAGTGTTAGCCCCGTTAGCATGATTGGTCTTACGGCAAAATGAATAGACAAAAACTTTGAACTTAAAAGTCTGTCCTTCATGCACAAGAGTGCAGACGATCCCACACTGCAGCTAGGAACCTGGAAGAAGCCTCCACAAGTGAGACAGCATCGCAGGTGACTAATGCTAATAAATAACATTTAACACTTTTCATTTAATATAAGTTAAATTGCTTTGCATATGGCTGTTACTGATGTCACTAGCTCTTACAGCGGTTACACAATTTTTGTAGCAAATGAGCCTAAATAAAAGGGCTATGTTCTGACAAATGAAAGTATATTAAAAATATTGGTATTGGTTATTGTCCAAATAAGTTTTAGCATATCGGATATCAGCCAAAAATCCAATAATGTGCATCCCTAAAAAATTGTCTATAAAAACCTACATTTTAGGGAACAGTGCTGTGTTTGCTATCAAATTGCACTTTCTGTAACTTCCACATGTTGTAACAGGTTTCTGAGTTTTCTACAAAAGTTACTAGAATTATGGTTCTCAACATTCCTTTTTCCAGTCCAACACCAACGCGTAACAAATGTTTTTTTTTACATAGTATTTATTTGTTTTAATATGTTACTTTATTTGTGCTTTGAGCTATTTGGATTAAGGTTGAGAAGAGGCTCCATGCAGATTAAAACAGTATAGACAGGAAAGACTGCCCTACTTTTGGTGATAGCGTGCCCTTTACTTCGGCAATGATTTATGGACAGATGCCCTGGCTTGACAGCAGCATGTTCTCTGAGCCCCTAGGAAAGATGCTTTGCATCATGTTAATCATGAAAAACATAAACACGATTTATTAGTTTAACTTAAATAAATTTTAAAGCCTTTTTTGCAGTTTATAAAAGGTTAAAACAATCTAATTAGATCTTTTAAAAGACAAATGTTCCTTGAATTAATTTTTAAAATGTTGTTTTTAATTTTGCACAATATACTTTTAAAGTTAGTGGAAAATAAAACATGTGGTTGACTTAGTTTTCCATTTTGGTCTACAATCACTTTTTTTATACAAACTGATGTTTATTCAGGAGATGGGCCCTTTTGTGTGTTCCTTTGCAACAAGAGACCCCAGGTTTTAGTTCTGGCTTTGAACATTTAATGAGAAACATATCTGAATGAAGCTAATATCCTTTTCCCAGCTGAGATCAGTTACTATACAGAGTCTTTTAGAGACCAGATCAATGAATAAAATGCTTAAAATTCATGAGGGTTTGAATATTGTGATTCTGTGAGGGTGAATGAATGCACTATCTGGTGGACGGTGCTCTCACCCTGAACCAACTTTAAATAAACCCTGCCTTCGTTTAATGTTTGGTTTATAAATGGTTTATCAATAAAGCTCCAAAAATTAAATGTCAGACCTTTTAGCAAATGTACGTATAGTAACGTATTAGAAAAGCAGCATATTTCTGTAAAATGTTTTTTTTTTTATAAATCCTGGATGACTTTAGTTTTGAGGTTAATAACCAGACCTTAATTTATGCTTTTTAAAGTAGTAGTAGAGATCTAATTATTCAAGTTTCTTTATTGTCATTCGCATCACATGTGGTACTTGAGGTGGAATGAAATTGTGTACCCAAGGTCCCAGTTACACACCAAAATAGCAGTAATATAAACTATAAAAAAGAAACAGTATACAGTAATCCCTTGCTACTTCACAGTTCGACTTTCGCAGACTCGCTTTTTCGTGGTTTTTCAAAGTAAGATTGGACATGACACACAATTGGCTGATTGATGGATGAGCCACATGATTGGCATGGATTTTATTTAAAGTAATTTTAAATTATTTAGCACCTGCTGCACCTGTGTGCTGTACACAGGTGCAGGGAGAAGCTCCCTCCTGCAGCTTGTCATGATTTTCGCTTTGCAGCAGAGAAGTGGGCATTGCCAAGAGTGCTGGCAGGTGGCAGAGAGAGCAGAAATTACGACATTTAGAGTTAGTAACATTGTTTAGAATATTGCAAGAGTGTGGGAAGGGTTTAAAACGCACACACGCACACACACACACACACACACAAACTTGTTTTCTGGAATTTCTTTTCCTGTCCAACACATGCTACATAACACTTGATTTGTCAGAAGGGTTAGTTGTGGGTCATATGGTTAGAATTTAACTAATACAACACAATTTATGCCACTAATCAAATTGATAACATTGACATTTTCTCTGATGTCCATTTTTATAACATTACACTGAACTACTAAGGTAGTTAAATATAAACGTACAACTTGTATAAACTCATAAGCAGCAGCAAAATTTAGAAAATCAACAGAAATCACAATAGTAATCTAACATTGCTGCAGAACGATTTGTTTTAGTACGTTTTTCAAAATGCCTTTTTTAAACAGGGGCCTCACATCTTATTTATTATCTTGTTCTGTTGTCAACACTTTCTTTATGCGTCTAGCTGGCATTTAAATAAAGATGTCACAGCTTTGCTCCACTGAGGCTTTATATCCAGTCATGAAGCAAAAAGTCAGTCTATATCCGAAGCAGATGTCAAATGCTAAGTTCAAAACTTTTCCACACGTTCCCTCCATCTTCCCAGTTTCACCCTTGCAGTCTCAGTGTGACAGCATGCTGAGAACTCATTATGCAGAATCACTTCTTTTCATCCTGCGCACAGTGCGCCCATGGATTCACGTTCCAGCAAATGTACGGTTTGGTTACCAACTCATCCAGGGGTTTTGTGCTTGTGCACATTCAGAAGACGACACATCCTTAACGCCTTTTGTACTGCTTCTTCCACTTCTACGTTCAACAAAGAAAAATTTTCTATTAGAAAGTACAAACCGGATTCCAAAAAAGTTGGGACACTAAACAAATTGTGAATAAAAACTGAATGCAATTATGTGGAGGTGCCAACATCTAATATTTTATTCAGAATAGAACACAAATCACAGATCAAAAGTTTTAAACTGAGAGAATGTATCATTTTAAGGGAAAAATCTGTTGTTTCCAAATTTCTTGGCGTCAACAAATCCCAAAAAAAGTTGGGACAAGTCCATTTTTACCACTGTGTGGCATCCCCCCTTCTTCTTACAACACTCAACAAACATCTGGGGACAGAGGAGACCAGTTTCTCAAGTTTAGAAATAGGAATGCTCTCCCGTTCATGTCTAATACAGGCCTCTAACTGTTCAATCGTCTTGGGCCTTCTTTGTTGCACCTTCCTCTTTATGATGCGCCAAATGTTCTCTATAGGTGAAAGATCTGGACTGCAAGCTGGCCATTTCAGTACCCGGATCCTTCTCCTACGTAGCCATGATGTTGTGATTGCTGCAGAATGTGGTCTGGCATTATCGTGTTGAAAAATGCAGGGTCTTCCCTGAAAGAGATGACATCTAGATGGGAGCATATGTTGTTCTAGAACCTGAACATAGTTCTCTGCATTAATGGTGCCTTTCCAGACATTCAAGCTGCCCATGCCACAAGAGCTCATGCAACCCCATACCATCAGTGATGCAGGCTTCTGAACGGAGCGTCGATAACAACTTGGGCTATCCTTGTCCTCTCTGGTCCGGATGACATGGCGTCTCAGTGTTCCATAAAGAACTTCAAATCGTGACTCATCTGACCACAAAACAGTCTTCCATTTTGCCACACTCCATTTTAAATGACCCCTGGCCCAGTGCAAACGTCTGAGCTTGTGGAGCTTGCTTAGAAATGGCTTCCTCTTTGCACTGTAGAGTTTCAGCTGGCAACGGCGGATGGCACGGTGGACTGTGTTCACTGACAATGCTTTCTGGAAGTATTCCTGAGCCCATTCTGTTATTTCCTTGACAGTGGCATTCCTGTTTGAGGTGCAGTGACGTTTAAGGGCCCGGAGATCACGAGCATCCAGTAGAGTTTTACGGCCTTGACCCTTATGCACAGCGATTGCTCCAGATTCTCTGAATCTTTTGATGATGTTATGCACGGTTGATGATGATAACTTAAAAGTCTTTGCTATTTTATGCTGGGGAACACCATTCTGGTATTGCTGCATTATCTTTCTGCACAACAATGGTGCAATTGGTGATCCTCTTACCATCTTGGCTTCTGAGAGACACTGACACTCTGAGAAGCTCTTTTTATACCCAATCATGTTGTCAATTGACCTAATTAGTGTTAATTGGTCTTCCAGCTGTTCATTATTTGCTCAATTTCCTTTTTCCAGCCACTTATTGCTACTTGTCCCAACTTTTTTGGGGATTTGTTGACACTGTGAAATTTTGAATCAACATATTTTTCCTTTAAAATGTTACATTTACTCTGATTAAACTTTTGATCTGTCATCTATGTTATATTACGAATAAAATATTGACATTTGCCATCTCCACATCATTGCATTCAGTTTTTATTCATAATTTGTTTAGTGTCCCAACTTTTTTTGGAATCCAGTTTGTATGTGAGGGATTAAAGAAGATGTTCATATTTATTTAGTGAAAAGAAACTTACTTTTATTCTGATTTAAACCCCAGAACTTGACCATGTGCATTTGTAATATAAGGCAGTGACTCATGTCAATAAGGTCTTGACTTTCTAGAATTGATAAACTTGACAACACAAAAATGAACAATTGAAATGCTGTTTAGAATATTTTAGGTAAGAGTAGGAGGAGAATTAAATTGATACTTCAAGGTCACCGAGTTCATTTTTTAAAGATAATCTTGTGCATTATCTTTACTCCCTAAGAGTACTTTTATGTGTTTGAAAACTTTCCTTTTTTCTCCTCATTTTTCCCAGCTCCCCTTTCTGCCGGCAGTGCACCCCTGCTTTTGAGGCTGTGGTATGAGCCTATGTGGTAGGAAGGCGCTGACGTTGCTGAGCAGCGTGTTCGCTGTTTGCGGCCTCGGCCTGTTGGGGATCGCCGTAAGCACCGACTACTGGCTGTACCTCGAGGAAGGTGTCATCCTCCCCCTCAACCAGAGCACCGAGATGCACATGTCCCTCCACTCCGGACTCTGGAGGGTTTGCTTCCTGGCTGGTGAGTAAGCAGGAAGTCATAACAAATAAATGACAAGAAGTAAAATGTCAAAATAAAGCTACTATAAACAAAGTGAACTGGGTGTTTTACTGAATTTTACAGTGATATTTGGTAAAAAGAAATTGGTAATCTGATTATCTTTGGTGATAAATTATGATCAATGTGCAAAAAACAACTTCTCAAGTTAAGTGAAATGGCTAAAACCAAAACATTTTCAATGCAATATATATATTTTATATGTTTAAAGATACTGATTGCTATGCAACGATCATATAAACTCTGCTAGTTTTATGTTACTCAGAATAGAAATCAATATGTAAACATGACTTGATACAACCGAGCACATAAAAGACCTTTTCCCATGGTTGAAAACCAAGTGTTTAATTCTTTATTCATACGACTTCCACATCAGAAGGACGTCGTGAACCATTTGTGTTTATTACACAGTTTACGAGTGTTGAGATCCACTCAATCCTCATAAAGACCAAGTAGGAATAAAAAATTAATTGGCATAGTTAGCAGAAACGATTTAATCTAACGCTTTAAAAAGCGCAATCCTCCCTGTTTGAGTTTTCCCTCCACTGTTGAACTCTGCTAAATGGAGGCTTCCGTGTTGACTGTTCCGAACATTGTCTGATGTACATTCCGTCATCACTTGCGCTGCAAGTTTGCAAACTTTTAGTGCTAATTATAGTATTTTTTTCGGCTAAAAGATCACTTTTATCTTCTTACACTGAATGAACATATTTAATGTGTTAAAGTGTGTCTCCATTTGTGTTTGTGTCTTTTATGGTCATTTGAACTGACAAAATTACACTTTGCGTTAAATTCTTCCAATAATTCATGACCTAATCTGTACAATTTCATTTCATTTACTCATTCATGTCCAAATCCAGCTGTGATTAGGTAACAGATGTTTCCCTCCATGGCAGAGGGCAACAGACCACACATTAACCGATGGTTCATTGTGTTTTTTAGTGGGGATTGAGTGGCCTTACTGCCCACTTAACAATTCTGGTGCACACTGACCCACAAGCTCTAATTGTTCACGATCACATTATGTTGTTACACCAGTGAACAGGGAGACATTGTGTCTGTGGAGTTTTGAAGGTGTAATTCCTAAATGATGCATAATGATCACCCTTTTTCATCATTTGATGCAGAGTAGTCAACCACTCCCTTCATAAGTCTGAACAGCATCTCGTTAATAACAGTATAATTACACAATAATAAGGTCAACAAAACAAGGTATTAAAATTGCATGGGTCGTAGACTACATTTCACCCACCTGTAAATATGTGTTTAACTAAAAACCATAATATAAACCAGTATCAACAACTTACCAAAGTGACATTCTGGTATAAGGATAGCGTTTTTGTTTACAGAATGATGTGTAAAAAAATCTTTGGATGTTCAGACAGAAAACTATCAGATGAAAAGCTTAGCTGTCAATTTCTGTTTTTTGACTGTGCCATGCATCTTTTACTGACTTCAGTTTTGTATCTTACATATATACATTTATTTCTGTGTTACATAATTGAACGTCTAAAGCCAAAGATTTAGTTGAAAGATATTTATGGCCAAATAAGGGTTTCAGTAAACCTAGATTATGAATTCACATCTATTTCCCATTGTGGTTAAACAGTATGATGCATATTTTATTATCTAATTTACTGCTTGCTATGTAAATGGCAACAAAGAAGGCCAAGAGGAGATATATGGGTGCAGTTCATGAGGGCATGGAGGTAGTTGGAGTGAGGACAGAAGATGCAGAGGACAGAGATGGAGGAGGACGACTCGCTGCCCCTGAAGAGGAAAAAGCTAAAAGAAAAGGAAGACACATAATTTACTGTATGCTATGGGAATCTGAAAAATTGTCTTTAACCTGACTGGGTTCAATTACTTAAATCCTGTAGGCAATCTTCTTCTCAAACATCAACCTTATTCTTTTGGACCTCCATTTTTCAATCTGTTTTAGTCCTGAGTATATGCGCACTATGAATAAAAAGAAATGTTCTCTTAATCAAACATTACAAAAGCTTCAACAGTGTTGTAAAGATGTTATTTTTCCCGTTTTCAAATGTCTACTGTGATATTTTGAAGACACAGCTTGACAACAGAATCAACAACTGTCCTAATCTATATTAAAATTTCTTGTATTATTTTCAGAAAACGTACTTTATTTTTAAAAATTAGTATAAAGTGTTACTGTATCATGAAATCTTGTTCGACATGCTGAATCACGAAACATCACCTAATCCAACGCTTCAGGGTGTGTGGGAAGACATCAGTTAGTGCCAGATTTTGCAGAGTGTGTGTTAAAAACTAACGCGGAGTGTTTCTAAACACCCACCGACAGCAGGAGCTGTGTGTTACAGCAAACAAGCTGTGAACCTGAGATTGTTCAAGTCAGCAGCCTCGCAAATGAAACAAACCATCACGGGCATGTTGTAAAGTTTACTTTTCTCCTCAGTGGAAATATGTTTTATCTTTAGGGTTATTATCATTTAATATTCCACTGGTACATTAGATTTGTAGTATTTTTGATGTGGATGCTGCAGACCTTTTCTGGTTTATAAAAAATCTTTAGAGAATCTCTGTTCTTTGTTTCAGGGGAAGTAAAAGGACGGTGTTTTACCATTGAATATGTGATGCCCGCTACTGTCCAGATGACATCCGAGTCCACAGTCAGCGTACTCAGTAAGTAACCCCCTCACATAGAACTAGAAGAACAAGAAGAAGTTGTAAAAACTGATTTTTCAAATAAAAAAGCACCCATTTTTAACATAAAGGTCTGATGAGATTGACTTATTTTTTGTAACTGAAGGAATTATGCAGGTGGCACGGTGGCTCAGTTGGTAGAGATGTTGCCTTTCAGCAAGAAAGTTGCCGGATCAAATCCCAGCCGGGGACCTTTGTGGGTGGATTATGCATGCTCTCTCTGTGCATGTGTGTTTTGTTTTCTCTGTGTACTCTGATTTCCTCCTACTGACCAAAAACATGCATGTTAGGCTGATTGGTAACTAAAACTTTGGCAGCACGACGGCTTAGTGGTTAGCTTTTTTGCCTCACACCAAGAAGATCCTGGGTTTAATTCCCGGTTGGACCTGGGGTCTTTCTGTGTGGAGTTTGCATGTTCTTCTCGTGCTTGCGTGGGTTTTCTCTGCGTACTCCAATTTCCTCCCACAGACCAAAAACATGCATGTTAGGCTACCTTCAGGCCCAGGCTTCTCTTGATCTCTGTGATCTCAATGGGATTTGCCTGGTTAAATAAAGGTTAATAAAATAATAAATTGTCCCTAAATGATAGAGAGTGAATGGTTGTTTATCTCATTTGTTTTTTGTTATTTGCATGGGATTAGTTTTACCTAGGGACCGCATGCTATTTGTAATAATTATGGAGATTGTCTGTGTTGTTAATCCCGTGCGAATCGGCCATGTCAGTAATTTGTAAAGTAAAAATTCCCCCGCAAATTACCTACCATATTTTGCTGAACTCTGTGGTCCTGTGATAACACTAATCCAATGTGAATAGGAATTTCTGTGATTTGGACAGAAATGGGTGGGATCTGATACGTAATTAGGCGTTTTTTGTTTTTGTTTTCTAAGAAAAATTATTTGGAAAAATATAAAACACGGTTGTTTTAAATGAACGCGCTGCTCGCTTCGGCTTTTGTAGATGCTATTACTTCCTTCACCGCAGATGACAGTAGGTGTGGAGATGTGTGCAGCCCGTGATCAGCTGATTGATTCATCCATCCATCCATTATATATATTATACTCGCTTCTTCCTTTTCGAGTAGCGGGGGTCGCTGGTGCCCATGTCCAGCTATCACTGTGTGAGAGCTGGGGTACACCCTGGACAGGTTGCAAGTCCATTTCAACCGGCGGGTCAGCGGACGCGCGCGGCCGGTGACAGATTGTCCATCTGAGTTTAACGCAACTATTTTTTTTTACCTCTTTAAACCAGCCGGTCGGAGCAAAAGGAGTGCATGTCTGCTAGCTGCTCTTTTCTGCCTGATGGTGAGACAATAGTGACAAAAACTGCAAACAATCTTTCGATTTCGTTCAATCTAAAGTCATAATTGCCAGAGCCCTTTCACTCTCCACACCTCTGTTCCCTAGCTCCATCTCATATGTGGTTTGTGTTATTTCTGGCCCAGTCCTTTTGAACTAACCACTGAAGATAAGAGCAGCATGTTTATAAAAAATGTAGGAGTGCCAGTTTCATTTTTTAACACCTCCTACAGCGGGAACATGCTGGGAAACACATAACTTGTAGTCTGCAGACAAGCAGTGAGTGATTTTAAGACAGCCACTTCAGATGTAACAACCCCGCTGTCCTCAAGACGTGGCCTAAAAATGGATCTTTGAGGTAAAAATGTAATAAATTGTCCAACGAAAACTGGTGTAGAACTATTATATCCTTCTCAACTGTCTCTGAAGGCTGTCTACAACATTTTAGGGACTTAAAAGCAGAAGTCAAAGTGAAACAATTATACCAATACATGAAATGAATGATTGAAAAATGGTTTTGTCCAATTAGCCAATGACGAAATATTGGTGTCTGACTTGATTGCTCTGCACAAAAAAGTAAGAATCAAGAGAAAGCAGAGCTGTGAAAAATTGGAGGCAGATAAACTTTGGTGATGGCAGCTGACGCAAGAAGAAATTTATAAAAAATTAAAAAGACAAAAAGTCATTGAAAGTTTCTGTGGCTTTCACTGTGGCTTTTTGCCATTGTATGGGAACATACAATGATGACAATACATACACATAATTATTATTTCCCGCCGACATTTGTTGTTGTCGATGCGGTGATTCAAACCAGGTGCCGCCCTCTCCCCTTAAAAGTAACAATTATTACACCTTGGGTTTTTTTGGGTGGGGGTCAGGGAGATATGGGGTGTGAAACCAATATAACGCAAGCATTGGTTGTAACTATACAGACATGTTGGAACAAAACATTTATTCTTTTGTATCAAGACATTTTTACTCTGTTTACTATGAATCATTTGCAGGGTTTCGAGTCTCCTAAAACAGGTTTGCATCCAGAAATATTATTTTAAGTGGAATTTAACAACACTGACTCATTGTGAAACTACTAAAACGTATTAGATTTTGCCTTGAATGTAATTCATTGTGGTCAATGGTTTTTCCCACATAAGAAACATGAGTGTGTAGTAAAGGTACTGTGACATTACGGGAGCGTTTGAAAATATTCTGACACCATTCAAATTATTATTTTTTTTTTCCATTTACCCTTTATTTATCCAGGTAGTCTCATTGAGCCACGAGAACTCTTTTTCAAGAGAGACCTATTTAGGGAGCAGATGGTGGGGGTTGGGGGCCTTGCTTAGGGGCCCAGGGAGGGGCCAATGAGGGTGGAGGGAGGTGTGGGTGTTTCACCTTTTCCACCCACATTTTGATGTTGACGGTACCAGGAGGTGAACCTGCGACTTTTCGATCACAAGCCCATCTTCTAACCTCTGCTCCACCACTCCCCACAAAAATGGAAGGGTTTTGAAGCTTTGTCTGGGAAAAAAAAGTTTGACAGCACTAAAATAAATAAATAAATAAAAACAGGGACAAACATAAATGCGAGAGAGAACTGGTGCAGGAAGAACAACCTTCACATCTATGTGAAGAAGACAAAGGAGATGGCCATGGATTTCAGAAGGAACAAACACACCTACCCCCCCAAATCAATATAGGAGGATCTGCGATGGGAGTGGTCTCCAGCTACAAGTACTTGTGTGTGCACCTGAAAGACAACCTGAGCTGGGGCAACAACACCACCAGCCTGATCAAGAAAGCTCATCAGAAACTCTACTTCCTCAGATGGCTGAGACGAGCTGGTCTTGGAAGCTCAGTCCTCACCTCCTTCTACAGGTGTGCAGTGGAGAGCAGCCTGTGCTCCAGCATCAATGTGTGGCATGGAGGCTGCACAGCTGCAGAAAGAAAAGCTTTGCAGAGAGTGGTGAAGGCTGCACAGAAGTCTGTTGGAGTCATTCTCCCCACCATCAGACATCTACACCTCCAGATGCAGGAAGAGGGCCGCCTGCATCATGAAAGACCCCACTCACCCAGCACACACCGCTCCCCTCAGGAAGGAGGTTGAGGAGCATAAAGTGTAGAACTACTAGACTGAGGAGCAATTTCTACCCTGAAGCTGTTAGACTCATTAATCTCTAACCAGAATAATCACTGTGAAGAAAAATAAACCACTGTAATGCCACTTTGATTGATGATAATGGCTGCTGATTATCCATGCTGCTGATTTCATGATGCTGATTATTTCACGCTACTGTATTCACTTGTTTTTATTTGCTCACACAGACTGTTCATGCTACTGTTCGGCGTATTGTTTTGCACTATTAGTGTAGCATATTTCTTAGTTTATATGTTATTACTGGTTCTTTTTACAATTTATATTTTTGCTGGGACCCTGTGTACATAATTTCATTCCATCTCATGTGATGCAAATGATAATAAAACCTACTTGAACTTGAACTTGAAATGCATGACTGATTTTTCCACAAAATGCAATGCAAAGATTAAAACAATAGTTTCTACTTGGCTGAAAATCTACTAAAGTTCCTAAAAAGGAAATTATTGATGCAACATTTTGGGTTAACTTAAGCAATTCTATTAGGATTGTGGCATTAGACATCTGGTCTACTGAGCTGGCAGAAAAACTGTTTTTTACTAAAAACATAACAGCAGGGTATCTAGAAATGGTGCCACCAACTCTTTTAGTTCCCTGCTTTTCTGGCTTTTTCTCAAACTAAATTAGATTCTTGCTGTCTGAGATCAAAGAGTCAAGAACGTGAAATCGTTTGCTTCAGGCTCAGCATCTCTGTGAAACTGTTTTAGTTCTGTTTTTTAATTCTCATTCCCCTCTTCTCTGTATTTTAGAGATGATTCGTTCTTCGACGCCCTTTCCTCTGGTCAGCCTCTTTTTCATGTTCATTGGTTTTGTGCTCAGTAACATCGGCCATATTCGTCCACATCGCACCATCCTGGCCTTTGTTTCTGGAATCTTCTTCATCCTTTCAGGTACTTTGCTCTCTTCCAACCACTGAAAAGACAAAACCGCAGTCATATGTACTGCTGTTGTTTTTGATAAATTATATATACTGAATGTACATTTCTGTTTATAGTCAGTTTGATTGGTCTGCCTCTTGTCCTGGTTTCCCGCAGGCCTCTCTCTGGTTGTTGGTTTGGTTTTGTACATCTCCAACATTAATGATGAAATGCTGAACAGGACCAAAACAAACGAGGCTTACTTCAGCTACAAGTACGGCTGGTCCTTTGCCTTTGCAGCCATTTCTTTCCTCCTCACAGAGGTAAACCTCAGGATTAATCATTAATGTTTCTTCTACAAGTTGTGCCTCTCTTTCTGCTTCATACTCTTTTTACATAAGCACCAAATAAGTGTAAGAAATGTCAGTTGAATATAGGCCTGTCGCGATAAACAATAAATCAATTAATCGCATGATAAATGAAAATTATCATCCTCATATTCATTTATCTACTTTATCATTCTTTGTGTCTCTCTACTGAAGACACTGGATGACAAAAGGCTCAACTCCGGTGCTCTTCACTGACCCCTCCTTTCTCTTTCTCTTTAAAATCCATTTTAACCATCCAAAATCGTGTTTTTGGATGGTTAAAAGCAGCTAAACTGAGAAGCTAAGCTAACCTCGGAGGGAAAAACCTCCGTCTTGTCGAAGCTCCAAAATTCACGGTTGAAACTTGTGCCTTCGTGTAAAAAGTTGTTTTTCTCTGAAAAAAGAAGCTGAGAACTTGTTTACAGATTTTTTTAATTAAAAGCTTTGTGTGAAAAATGCTATGCTAAAGAGCTCAAACCACACAGAGCGTCCACCATTTTGAGAAACGAATAGAGACAACCCATGTCACGTCAAGAGGCCTCCCTCCTATTTTTCTTAAAGAGACACGCTGCTTTCTCCCTCACTATCCATCTTTTGGTTCAAACAGTCTTATACTGCCATCCAGTGGTCGACAAAAGTTACTACATGCAAAACAAATTAACAAACATTTCTTCTTAAATTTGACAATAATTACACATGATTGTCAAATTTCCAACAATATTATCGTTTATCGCAATATTTTCTGAGACAATTAATCACCCAGCAAAATCTGTTATCGTGACAGGCCTAGTTGAATATGCTTAGTCTCTACTTTCCCATCATCTTCCCCTTCCTTTCAGACTGCAGGTGTCATGTCAGTGTATCTGTTCATGAAGCGCTACACCGCAGAGGAAATGTACAGACCTCACCAGGGCTTCTACCGGCCTCGCCTCAGCAACTGCTCGGATTACTCCGGTCAGTTTCTCCATCCAGACGCCTGGGCGGGTCGCGGCCGCAGCCCCTCCTCCATCTCTTCTGAGGCGTCCCTCCAGATGAATTCCTCCAACTACCCTGCTCTTCTCAAATGTCCAGAGTATGAACAGATGTCCTCTTCACCCTGCTGAGGCATCGAGACGGTGGCACTATCCTATACCGTTTGGGTTATTTTGATCTGTTCAGAGCAGATTTGTATCCGTCCAATTCAGCTTGAAGTCTTCAAAAGACACTCTTTATTTTCAACTGCTGGTTTTTGTTTGAAGCTTTTGGTTTTGTAAGAAGCAAAACAGGAGTTCAAAGTTAGCCACATGGTTCTTGATTCAAGTAGAGTTTAAGAAGTGAGGACATAGTTTGACCAGATTGTACTGTTTCTTCTGCAGTAGGTGGTTAGCAACCAGCTGAGTTTACCAGTTAAACCTGGATAGATAACTACAGGTAACACATGCAGACTTTGCATGCAACCAAAATGCACAAGCCCATGTTATATTAAGGAGTTTCATTCAGAAACGCTGCAGCCAATCAGTGAATTTACCTGCTATGGGAGTAGAGAAATCTCTCTGTTCATGAGATTTCTGGCAAAAATGTCTTCTCTTCGTGCTGTTCAAGTTCTTGTGCACATTGTAGCCTCTACATGCATGTTTATGTCATGTTCAAAACTAGTACAGAGAAAACCGTTTCTCGATCAACAGCAGGTTTTACAAATGACACAATAAATACAAATTTTAACACCCAACCAAACATAATCTGACAAACTATTTAATCATTGTGTAGCTTTATAGGCTGATATACAGCAAGTGCTGAGTTTTTAACGACATTTCATGTATTTGATCTGTTTTTCTAATCTTAAACAACTTATTTTATCTCTTTTTTTTACGCTCACAACACAGAGTTTCGTTTTCAAGAGCTGTATATTTTGATCTCCTATATAGAGACACAGTATTTATTGTTTTAAAACTAAATACATTAAGTGTTGGAACTGACTCATGAGATGCCTACCGTATATTTGGGTTTATATAGGCAATAAAAACTCCAAGTGTAGAGTAGTTTATTCTTTGAGAGTAGTATACAATCATAATGTGACACGTGCAATGATGTAAAACAGCTTTAAATCAATTACTAAGACCATAAACTTTGCATGAAAAGTGTGAGGTTTTGTGTTTTGGTGATTATTTCTTTGCTGGAACAACTTTGCTTGGCAGTAAGTCTCATATCGTTATGAAGCCTGTTTATTTTCTCTTGAATGGCGCCCTATTTTTGGAAAATGCATTTGTGAGTTGAGCAGCAGAGTTGAGTATCTAGAGTGCATGAAAAACTGGCTTAATCCTCTCTGTCAAAAGTCTTATTCTGCTACAGACTCTTGTTTGGTGTCTTTTATTAGACTGGATAATTGAAATCTGAAAAAACAAGCCATATTAGCTATTTAACAGTTTATTCATTCAATTTTATCAGTAGGGGCCCAAGTAGCATGTGGAAGAACCATACACAGCCGCAACAGCATAGCACCTCCTTATGCTGCTCACCAGCTTGGGCACACACTGCTGTGGGATGGCATCCCATTCTTTGATTAGAACTGGTCGTAAGTCAACCAGTGTTGTTGTTTTGGTCACTTTGGAATGAGCAGCACACTGTGTAGTATATATCGTACCCATCACCTCATTCTGTAGTCATTGGTTAGTTGGTCATCATTATCTACACATAGGCTCTCACATCATCTATAAATCCCTCCTTGGTCTGCTACCTTCTTCTATCTCCTCTCACTTAGGCTTGTCGCGATAAATAATAAATCAATTAATCACATGAGAAATGAAAATTATCTACCTCATTTTCATTTATCGGCTTTATCGTTTCTTCGTGTCTCTCTTTACTGAAGTCACTGGATGAGAATAAGCTCAACTCCGGTGCTCTTCACTGACCCCTTCTTTTCTCTTTAAAATCCATTTTAACCATCCAAAATTGTGTTTTTGGATGGTTAAAAGCATCTAAGCTGAGACGCTAAGCTACGAGCTAAGCTAACAGGCCGATCTCAGGAAAAAAACCAACGTCTTGTCAAAGCTCCAAAATTCACAGTTGAAACCTGTGCCTTTGTGTAAAAAGTTGTTTTTCTCTGCAAAAAGATGCTGAGAACTTGTTTACTGATTTTTTTTTTATTAAAAGCTTTGTGTGAAAAATGCTATGCTAAAGAGCTCAAACTGCACAGAGCGTCCGCCATTTTGAGAACCAAAGAAAGGAAGGGGAGACAGCCCATGTCACGTCAAGGGTGTTATTCCCCTATCTGTTACGGAAGCACGATCCGTAGTGTACTTCCAGCTCGTGCGTTTATGAATAAAAGCGGTCTTAATTTACTTAGAAAAGTACATGCTCTATCTCCACCGATCTTCATCTAGCTAATTTACGCCACGTATTTCCGTTACAAATCATTGGTTACGATGATATGGGACGCATTAGAGCTGACCACCAGCCTGGACTGAATGAGAAAAACCCTGCAAGATACAGAATGAATTACTTCCATGGTGAAACAGCGCCGCTCAGTGGTGAAACTGCATATCATTTAACCATGACGTAAATATGGCAATGATTTTAACGGAATTACGAGTTGCGTAAATAAGCAACATGAAAATTGGCAAAGATAGAGCACATACTTTTCTAAGTAAATTAAGAAGTTCTTATTCATACACGGAATTATATTAGTACATTTTCCATAATTTAGCATATTCAACAGAGATCTGTGTGACCCGGAAGTATTCCTTTAAGCAAATGTGCAAATGAGCTATACTACGGATCGTGCTTGCATAACAGAAAGGGGAATGACAAAGGGTCCTCCCTCCCATTTTTCTTAAAGAGACACGCTGCTCGCTCCCTCACTATCCATCCTTCGGTTCAAATAGTCTTATACTGCCATCCGGTGGTCGATAAAAGGTATTACACTCAAAACAAGTTAAACATTTCTTCTTAAATTTGACAATAATTAGTAATTATTGTCAAATTTAAGAAGAAATGCTTGTTAACTTGTTTTGTTATTGTCAAATTTCAAACAATATTATCATTTATCGCAATGTTTTCTGAGACAATTAATCGCCCAGCAAAGTTTGTTATCATGACCGGCGTACTCCCACTTGTCACATGATCAGTGCAGTTACAACGTGCTCTCAGGCCATCATTACCTGCAGCGTTCTCTCAGTTTGTACTGAACTCAGCTAAAATGCCTTCTCTTGCTCTGCTCCTGTATCCTGGAACACCTCACAACAAGATCTGAAGCTGCCCACTTTGATTTCTTCAAAGGGATTTTAAGCATTTGACACGGCCATCAGAAAAAACAAATCTACACAAATATGTTCCTGTTTTTAGTTTTTTGCCTTGTTTTATATGGAACATTGATTTGATTGTTTTTATAACACCATTTTTTTAAATTATTTTAATTGATTTTTATTGTTGTAGATTGTTGTCTGTACTCTTAAGTGGTCCGTCTAAAACAAATCTCTTTTGACAATGAGTCCTCGTGACTCAATTAGACTAACCTGTATAAATAAAGATTAACTAAAAATAAATAAATGGAGTTGAGGTCAGGTCTGCAGGCATTCTATCCTCTTCATTCCAACAAACTCTGTGGGGATGAGCGTTGTCACTATGGAGGACAGAGTTCATCCCCAGACTGTGGAGATAGAGGATTGCCACTTGTTGCTCACAGGTGCTAACAATCTGGCTAATTGGCACCAGAAGCTCAAAACAAGGGTCAATAGCAGAATAAGCTGTTTCACATTGCAGACATTTTGAGTTTTTCATGCATGTATCCCACATTCTCTACTCTTCTGCTCTACCAGCGAATGCTTTTTTAAAATGTATTTAACAAACGTGGCACCAATTAAAGGGATGTAAGCATTCTTTTTCACTAGCATGAGGCTTAAAACTAAGAACTATATGACCAAACTCTTTTTTTTTACTTTTTGTACCATGCTCAGACACAATTATACAAAGCGCTTATGACCTACAGAGCTATGTATTAAGTTAGTCATTAGAGTTGGTACAAAAGCTGAAGTCAAGCTACATTTTCTAATAAATCAAGCAGTTTCGTTTGACTTAGTAATCAGAGTTTTAAATAAGAACAGAAAGCCAAAGGAGAGAATACATTTGGATATGTTTGTGTTTATTGTGGAAAGTAAATGAATCAGGTGTTACAAAGTAATATTTTCATATGAAGTCAATGTGAATGTAAGATGCACTGAAGGAAACCCTGCTAAACGAGATTTCTCTGCATTAAATACCTCTTCATATAAGAAATACAGTATTAACCCAAACCCCTGAAACTTATTTTTCTAATATACCCCATGGTGAAGTTTTTTTCTTCCTATGAATAAAACAACCAAATGGTCGTGACTGTTAGTGTACTAGTACTAAGGCTGTACCAGGTTTACTAATTTTAACTGCATACGCTTTTATTTTTCACATTTACAGCATCAAAGGTTGGTAAACGTATTACACAGGTACATTTTATTTTGTGCAATCATTTTATGTTGGTTTGATGTTTTACTCAGATTTAATTATTGTTATTGTCATCTTGCATGATGTGAACACATCATAAAATTTTTGGCATGTAACATTTTATACGAGGAACCTGATGTTTCCATCTGCTCAACAAAACACAACTTGTGCCAAGATAAACTCACAATCAAACATTGTTTTAATAAGTTGACCCATCGGCGTTTTGTTCATCTCAATCACTGTAAATATAAATCAGTTGGCGTGTACATAATCTTGTGTTCATATAAATGGCAGTACATGTAAAAACGATGTTTGTTCTGTTTTTAGCTTCAGCTGCAGCTGCTTTGCCTCTTGCTTCACATAAAAGAATGTGAGCTGTTGCATATTGTAATGCTTATACATATTAAATAAGCATACGGTGTCATAGTCAGACATGAAATGTCCACATACTGTGTGTATTTTTACAATCAGTCATACTCATGATGTTAAATGTGCAATGGATGGTACTCGGTAAATAAAATTAAAAAGGATTTGATAAAAAAAAAAAAACTGAGCTTGATTTTTCTTTAAATGCCTGCATGTCTTTAAAAAGTCTGGATTACTTTGATGTCCACTTTCACCTGCACTATTTGCTATTTTTATTGAACCTTTA